TGGGGGAAAAAAAATGGCCCCCAAAGGGGGGGGTGACATCGTAGCTGGGTATGGGCAGGGGAGGAGGAGAGGGGAGAGTGATGATTGTGCATCGCATCGATTGTGTCGATGGTATCGAGGGATTGTATCGATCGCCTCGATTAGTTGTGGTTGATAAATTGTATCGAGGGATTGTGTCGATCGCCTCGATTAATCGCCTCGATCAATCGTATCGATCAATCGTTTCGATTAATTGTGTCGATCGCCTCGATTAAGCGTATCGATCAATCGTATCGATCAATCGTATCGATTAATCGTACCGATCAATCGCCTCGATCAATCGTATCGATCAATCGTATCAATCGCATCGTCGGCTATCAGCAGTGGTGGCCGGCAGATGGCAGATGGCAGGAGCTGGTCCAATGCCCCAGCCCAAATCAAGCTCAAGCTCCCGCCCGGCAACCGGATGGCAAGCACGACATCGAGGGCTTGCCGATAAACAGCTGCCCACGAGCCGTCGCCGGCGAGCAGCAATCTAGGAATAGCGCCGGACAAGGGCCAGACTCCTCTCCTCCCCGACTGACCATGGCTCGATACGAGGCGACGTACGGCGACGGGTCGTTCCAGGTCTCCGGCAGCTTGCATCGGATGCTCTCGCAGGCCACGCCCCTGTACGAGTACCTCACAGGCCGCAAGGCGCCTGCGGTGGTGGTACGTTCCCCAAACCCTGTCGGCTTGACCATGCCATGGCCTCGCTGTGGCTGGGAGTGAGTCCGTTGGCAGCCGTTTGGCAACCAACGGTCTTTTGGCCGACGCACGCGTGGCGAGCTCGACGCAGCCGAGCAGCACCACTGGCCGGGTGTGTGGCTGTTGGTGGATTCGGCAGGAGTGGCTCACAGAGAGTGTTGCCGTGGAGATGGTGTAGGTGCCGGCAGAGATGGATCCGCGCGATGTGGTGGCCTCGAGGCGGTCACACGGCCTCTTTGCCCACTCGGTCCGCATGCCCTCGCGCCACGGCGAGACCGAGGGTCGCTATCCGTGGACCCTCCCGCGCGAGGTCGAGGAGGAGTTGGAGCGATCGGCATCGGGGCTGCTGGAGATAGCCGACGATAATGGCGAGTATGACGAGGATAACGACGAGTGTGGATCGGGGTATGATGCAGCTGACGGTGCCGATGAGACCCGTCAGGCCGGCGCAGATGCCGATGCAAGCGCAGACAAGGCTGAGAGCGAGTTTGCCAACACTCGCAAGCCCGCATGGGCTGCACGCTCGCAGTTCCGCCCAGCCTCGCAGATCACCTTTACCAACCGCGGCCCGTACGGCAACACCTACGACATTTCTATGTACATGTAGCCGATCAACACCCGCCGCCCCGCCGCACACAGATACCATCGTCAGGCGCAGGTATTGCCACCGTTGCAGATGGCAACAGCTGCTGAAAGAGCTGATAAATACGCCAAGACCGAGCATTGAGCCCGTTCTCGCTTGCTTTGCCAAATCTCAAAGAAGTGTCATGAGCAGCTCGAGCTCGTTGAACGTGCCGAGGATGATGGCAATGTGCCAAAGCTGGTGCGAGGCACCCCAGATGTCAAACAAGCCCGTGGGGATCCACCGCTCCGGCACCTTGTAGAGGAATGGCACCATACCGATGGCGTACCACTTTTGCACGTCCCACATGGCCTGGGCCGCTTGCGCAGCAACCGGCGCGTCGACCGCGTACAGCCGCCAAATAAGGGCCCACGAGAGCGCGGTAAGGAGCACCATGCCGACGTAGATGCGGTACTTGCGGTGCGGCTGGAGCACAAGCATGCTGATAGTCCACACCAAGACTACCGTAACCACGCAGCCAAACGCCGCCACAAACATCAGATTCTCGGCCGAGACCAGGGTGGCAGCTGGAACAAGATCGCGCCCACGATCCGCAGCGCCGAGCCAGGCCGGTGGCACAAAGAGACCGACGAGGGCAACAAGCTCCAGGCCGCCGATGTGGAAGAGCACGCCGATGTAGTCCCACTGGCGGAAACGGAAGCACACGTCCGCTGAGTGGCACATAACCGCATGATACGCCGCCGAGAGGAGGAACTGCGAGGCAAAGGCAAAGATAAAGACGCCGACCAGCGCGGCGTCCAGCCACGACAACGGGCCAACGTCACGGATGTGCGCCGCCAGTCGCAGTGCCAGCATCACTGCCACCACCACCGTCCCACCAGCATGCGTCCACACATTCATCGTCTGATTGTGGAGGTACCATACCGATCGCATGCACTGCGCCATGCTCGCGCACCCGAGCCGGTAGCCCGAGATCACAAACGGATTAACCCTCACCCACAGCGGCGACTCGTCGTACGAGCCCAGCTCCACGCCGTCGAACAGCACCGTCCGTCCCGCCGAGTCCTTGTCTCCGCCAGCATCTGCAACTTCTCCCACAGACCCCCCCCCGTCCCCGATCCCGCCGCCGCTCCCCGCCGCCGATGCCGCACACCCGTCGCTCCGCTCGCCACGCCACAGCCTGTCGGACCCATCGCCCCCGCTCCGCCGGCCGTCGCCATGCCGCTCGCCGACTCGTCACCGGCCACCATGTCGGACAAGAAGGAGGTTGCCCCACGTCCTCGCCGCTCTTGTTCGGTGACAGAGTGAGGTGCCGGCATTAGACGGTGGAGCTGTAGACGCGTGCTTCCATGGCTGCGCCACGGCCAGACAATCGTGCGTCAGTCGCTGATCAGACCGATCGATTTGAGCCAACAACAGCTGCGTTGCGCCACTACATAGCCATCGATGCTGAGAGCCTCATCTCGTGGTGATGCCAAAGCGGGTGCACTTGATATGCAGAGGCTGTGGAAGAGGCTGTGTAATGCAAACTGATCGGATGTGATGGCGCCTGGGACGATGGAGAGGTTAGGGCGATGACAAGGTGAGGCGACGTGGCTAAGGGGATGAGGCAGCTGGCGAGCAGTGGCCGGGTGATGGAGACAAGGACAGCGAGCAATGTGACCTGGCCACGATCTCTGCATCAACCCGACTGTTGCTCTTCCCTCCATCACAGCTTCATCGCGCCGTGGTAGGCGTTGTCCCCTGCGACGGCATCGCCTGGCTGAATGGGCGTGCGTCAGGCAGAGTGAGTCACCCCATGTCGGCCGTGCCAGCAGAGCTGTGTCCGCAGCGCCGTGTGTCAGCAGCAGGCAGCGAGGCAGAGGGGGAGAGAGCGAGGCCACAGTCTGGGCAACGCCTGACTTGTGCCTGGTGACCAGCATGTCTGGCCGTGTCGTGGGAATGTTCTGCATGCCGGCGCCGTGTGGTCTCGACGCGCTCTCCGTCGCGCCATGGACGGTGGTCGACTCGGTCGATGTGGAGCCGCGAGGGCCGACTGGTCCCCGCTTTGGGGCGGTCTTTGCGGTGGCTGGGCCTGGCGAGGCTGATGTGGCTGGGCCTGGGGCTAGTGCCGCCGATGTGGCTGGAGCTGACGAGGCTGGCGCGATTCTGCCAGCAGCGGCATGCCCTCTCTCCCGGCAGGGCAACAAGATGATGGAGACGACGATGGAAGGTACGACGATGGAAGGCGTCGTCTGGCTGCGCGGCCGGAAGAGAGTGTGGGCGAGGCGATGGGCGGTGCTGCAGGCAGATGGCGTGCTGGTTGTTGGCCCGCCACGCGCCGAGTCGAGCGAGGAGTCGTGCCTGCATGCAGCAGCGGTCAACGCTGGATGTCCACGTTCGGACGATGATGACGAGCATGTGCGACTAGATTTGGCGGGGACAAGGGCAACGGTGTCGGGAAGGCATATCCGTCGCGGTGTCGGGCTTAAGATTGAGGGTGATTTGCCATTTGTGCAGGGCGCGACTGGAATGAGCGCGTCCATTGCGCACCTGGTTGTGCCTGACGACGAGTCGCGACAGGCATGGATTGCAGCGCTTAATGCTGCGGCAGCCGTGGCCGCCACTCGTTCCTCTGCGCCGACTCGCCTCCGCATTGTGCTGACCTTTACTGGGCCGCCGCCGGAGCGCCACGAGCTTGAGCCTGTGATGGTGGTCGACGCGCCCGGTGCCGCCCGCCAAGGCGTCGAGCTCGCCTGGCAGTGGGTCGCCGCCAACTACCTCGCCACCGCCCGGGCTGTCGGCCTCACGCTCTCGCCCGCCGAGGTTCGCCGCATTGCACTGGTCTTTTTTGGCAATCTCGCGCTGGCGTCGCAGCATCCAGACTTTGCGCTGCATGTATTGGCCAGCCCGACACCGGCACCAGCTGACGACGAAAGACCGGGACCAGCCCCAAGCCTTGCTGCAGCGCTTGCGTCCATCAAGCCGAGCGCGCCGCCAGCGCTGGCGCCGTCACCGCCAGCCGAGGCACTCGACGCATCGCAGTACTTGTTTCAGGCCATTTCGCTGGTCGACACGCTCACAAGCGCAAGTCCGAGCCCGAGCCCTGTGCCGAGTGCAGACGATGGTGATGATGGCGAGGCGGGATCGAGCTCGGGCGAGGCTGGAACCAGCGGGCTTGCCATTCTCAACACCTCTTTTGTCGCCCGCGGCATCTTTCTTGTCTCGTCATTTGTGGCGCGGCTGGTCTCCGGCCCGTCGCTCAAGCTCGGGGTGCTGCAGATGATGGCGCGCGCGACGCGCGAGGCCGGCATTTCGCTGCAGCCGATGCAGAGCCGCGAGCCGCGCGGCCCCAAGACCCGATGGCTTGTCGGCAACATCCCGGACATTCTCCCCGCCAAGGGCGCGGTCCATGCCGCGGCGCTCCTCACCTATGAGTACGGCAAGCTGACCAAGCTCGCGCTAGGCAAGGAGAAGTTGTATGTGGTTGCCGACGCCAATTATGTGCACCGGATCATGGCATCAGCCGAAAAGCGGTTTCCCAAGCAGGAGGTCATGGCACGGTCGCTGTTCATGGCCGACGGCGAGACGTGGGCGTCGTCGCGGCGGACGCTCCTACCGGCTTTTGGCACGCGGTCGATGAAGCACTTTGTGCCGGCGTTCCACGAGGCGACACTCTGCCTTGCGGCGTCGATGCGAGCGCTTGCGGTGGAGAGCCCCGGAACGGCGTTCAATTGCTTCGATGCGTTCAAGGAGCTCACGTTCCAGGTCATCTGTCGGTGCGGGTTCGACTACGACGCGTCGCGGGCCAACCCACATGCGGAGGCCTTTACCTCGGCGTTTGAGTTCATCATCCACCACCAGGTCACGCGCTCGTTCCAGTTCGGCTTTCTCAAGATCCTGCCGACCTCGTCGAACCGGCGGTTTGCGGCAGCCAAGGCTTCGATTGAGACCGTCGTCGCCGACATCATGGCCCAGCGACTGGCGGAGCGTCCGGCCGGCGTTGCTCGCGGCGAGCTGCCGCCGTCGGCGTCGGAGCACGCCGACTTTCTGGCGTTTATGATGGATAACGCCGACCCAGAGACGGGTGACTTTATCTCGCACGACATCATGCAGGAGCAGGTCATGGTCTTTCTTGCCGCCGGTCATGTCACCACCACGCTCCTCACCTCGTGGGCGCTCTTCTGTATCGCGCAGCATCCCGAGGTCGAAGCCAAGATCCTGGCCGAGCTGGCCGGGGTGCTTGGGCCGGACCCGGCGGCGCTGCCGTCGTTTGCGCAAATTGGCGAGATGCACTACCTGCTCATGGTGCTGAAGGAGACGCTGCGGTTGTACCCGGCGGCTCAGTCGGTCATCCGCTACCACCCGGAGCCGTTTGTGGTTGGTGGCTACCGAGTTGCTGGCGGGAGCCACTCGATGACCGTTCCGTGGGTCATCCACCGCGACCCGGAGCTGTGGAGCCAGCCTGAGGCGTTCATCCCGGAGCGATTTGCGCCCGAGCGCGAGACTCGCCGGCACCCGTTTGCGTGGATGCCGTTTGGCGGCGGCGACCGTGTGTGCATTGGCTCGCGCTTTGCGCTTCTCGAGGTCCGTGCCGTCGTTGCCGTTCTCCTCCGCAACTTTCACTTTGAGGTTCCCCCGGGTTTTGAAGTTGCAGCGTCGCGAAATCCGGTGGAGCCCGACGGCGGGCTGCTCCTGGTTCCGTCGCTCCGCGATTCGGCGGCAGCCGCGAGCCAGGGTGCGGCTCTGTACGACTCGCTTGCCAGTTTTGCTACCCACGATCCGGATGCGCTTGCCGATCACATTCCCAAGCACCTCGAGGTGGTGGCTAACGTCTGCGGTATGTCTGGTGAACAGCTGGCGGCGGCAGCGGCGGCGGCGCAGGAGAGCGTTGCAGCGGCAGCGGCGAGCCCAGAGCTAAGCGATGAGGTGATCCGGCTGGCGCCGAGCCTCAATGGTGTCGAGGGTGGCCTCGAACTGGTAATTGGTTACGGGTCGAACATGGGCACCTCGCGCGGCTTTGCGCAGACGATTGAGGCCGACGCAAGGCGACGGTACGGCAGCGCGCTGAGCAGGGTAGTGATCTCGCCGCTCGATGAGGTGCTGAGCTCTGGCGCGCTGGTGAGCAGCGAGCCCGACGCGACGAGCGTGCTGGTTGTTGTCACGTCGTCGTACAACGGTGAGCCGCCGGACAACGCGCGCGACTTTGTGGCGTGGCTCAGCGAGGCCAGTCCCGAGTCTGCCGGCCTCGGCTCGTGGTACACGGCAGTGTTTGGCTGCGGCAACACCCAGTGGGGCCATCGGTTCCAGGCTGTGCCAAAGAAGGTTGCCCACGAGCTGGAGCGGTTAGGAGTGAGCGCGATCTGCGAGCGTGGGGCTGGCGATGACGACACCTCGCTGGACATGGACTTTGAGGCGTGGTACACACTTTTTGTGCCGGCGCTCGACATGGCGTACGGCGTGGAGGCGGTTCCTTTGGTGTCCGCCGACGGTGCCGATGACATCGAGTCTGGCGACGAGCTTCCAGCGCTGGTTCTCGAGGCGGCTGGGCCACACGCCGAGGCGCTCTCGCTCGAGGCGCTGCACTCGTCCGACGGCGGGCGTCGGATGCGAGTGGTGGTCAACGACGAACTGCTCTCACCCGAGTATGTGCGCAAGACCGGGTTTTCGACCCGGCACATCGAAGTGATGATGAACAGCGGCGAGAATGACAAGTACGCGCCGGGCGACCACATCGGCGTGTTTCCGGCGAATCCCGAAGCTGCGGTGGTGCGGTTTGCGGTCCTCGCCGGGCTCTACGATGAGCTCGACGAGTTGGTGGTGGTGGGCGACGGTGGCTCGTCGTGGGACGTCCTGCAGCCGGGGACGGCGACTACAGCGAGGTTTGTGCTCACCCACGTGGTGGATGTGTGTGGCGCGCCGCCGCGGATGCTGCTTCGCAAGCTCGCGCAGTTCTGCTCGGTAGCGAGCGAGCGGGCGACGCTGGAGATGCTCGGCTCGTCAACGGCCGAAGGCATGGCGGCGTACGATGAGCTTGTCCTCGGACGGCGGCTGACGGTGAGCGATGTACTGCGGCAGTTTCCAAGCGTGGCGGTGGCTGGCGCCAGCGTCTGGTTCTGCGGCCTGCTGCCCAAGCTCAAGCCGCGGCTGTACTCGATCTCGTCGGCACCGCAGGGCGGTCTTAACGAGGTTGTCTCACTCACAGTCGGGGTGGTCCGCGAGACAGCACCTGCCTTTGGCGGGTTGGCGTCCAACTATCTGGCGGAGCTTGCACCGGGGACCGAGCTGTGGGCCTTTACGCGTTCGTGCGATCCGCACTTTCGGGTTCCGGCTGCCGGAGAAGGCGGGTCGACAGACGGGGTGGCGATGGCGCTGGTTGGACCGGGCACCGGCTTTGCGCCGTTCCGCGGTTTCCTGCACGAAGTTGCGCGGCGGCCAGGGCCGCACACGCAGCACATGGTGTTCATCGGATGTCGCCAGGCCGGCGGTGACGAGCTGTACGCTGACGAGCTGGACGGCTTTGAGGCTGCGGGCGTTGTGGGCACCGTTTCGCGGGCATACTCGCGCGAGCAGACGACAGTCTCGGGCTCGCGGATGTATGTGCAGGACCGAATGGCAGAAGCCGCGCGTCCGCTGTGGGAGAAGATTCTGTCTCCAGTAGCCGGCGGGCGTGTCTTTGTCTGCGGCGATGGGCGGCGGATGGCTAAGGACGTCCGGCGGGTTGTTGCCCGCATTGCCGAGGACGAGGGCGGTGTCACCGATGGCGTCGCATGGCTCGCCGACATGCAGGCCAGCGGGCGATATGTCGAGGATGTGTGGGGATAGGGCAGTGTAACACAGATCCCGGAGCGGGGATTCGCGTAGAGCAGGTGGCGGAGCAGGCGAGTGGGAGCGAGTCAGTTTGCCAGTCGGTCGCCGAGCCGCGGCAGCCACGTGGTGCGACGACGGCAACGGCACTTGACACCAACGACGACGACAGCAAGCATGGCAGCTGCACCCCAGGACGATAACTTTGTGCGCGGGCTCGACTCGGACCTCCGCGAGAAGATGGCCGGGCGGTAGGTGGAGCAGGGGAAGGGGGGAGGGGGGGGGGGGGAGGAGGGGGGGAGGAGGGGGGGGAGGGGGGTGGTGGTGGACGGTTTTCTGGCGAAGGCCAGGCGCAGGTGGTGGGTGCGGGGATGGGTGTGTATGTGTGTGTGTGGGGGT